CTGTGTTCATCCAGCTCTACACCTTGTCATCTCAGGTATTCCATTATGTCCGGCTGGCTGATCTTGTTACAATTTATCCAATGAACGAAGGCTGGCATTTAAGCACAAATCATGTAGTTCGAGAGAGTATAGAGTTTGCTTATGTATTGTTAGGCTTGGATTAGCACAAGTTAGAACCAAGAACCGTGGTAAAGTAAACAACTTGGAATACTACCTCAATTCCATCAGAAATTCCAACCCACATACTAGGAGCTGGTGTGGGACTAGGTCTGATGATCTGATCCGGCATATCACCAGACACAATGATAGCTTAAAATTCAGTGCACCATGCTCTGATGCAACACTGCATCTGGATGAAAAATGACAGGAAATGAATAGTGGTTGATATATAACGGCAGTGCACCAAACTGTATTGGGGAATAGATGGACATTCTGTGCATACTGAAGACCAGATATTCTGTGGCATGGAATCACAGTCAGACTGGAAAAAACAAAAGGCACAAAGTGCTGGACAACAGCAGGTCTGGCAGTACCTATGCAGAGAAAAAAAACAAGAGGTCAGGCTCAGAGTCTGGTATGACTCTTTCTCAGAATGGTGTAATTGCCACTCCACTCAGTCCTTCAGAAATGTAGAGTGTACCGTAGTACAGGATAGTGGAGGGATGTCACACCACACAGCTCTTTCACAGAAATCAGTCTGAGAATTAAATAAACAGCAGCACAGCCAGATACTAACAGCTGCTTGTGAAAGGGCAACTTTGTAAGTGTGTCATTTCATGAGAGTGGGTGGGGTTCAGAGGTTGGGGGCAGGGAGAGGGAAACTTAACACTAACACTTGCAGAATTCACACTGAATTCGCAGACATTAAAAGGGTTGCCAGATTTCAGAAACTGTCTATCAGAATCTTCAATTTCCCAGGGAATCTCCACGGAAACAGCTGTGTCCAAGGTTCTGCAGGGTCCTGAAATGCAACTCCATTCTACATTGATTGGAGCTATATCTGGGCCACAGGTTGTCATTCGAGTAGCTGGGTAACCACCTCTGCTCCAACCCTGCAGCATCAGTCCAGAAGGGGATAGTATTCACTTGTGACACTCACTCCCTGAGCATACTGTATCACATTCAGCACTCAGTGCCAGGTCATTAAGTCAATCAGCTTGGGGACTGACCACTGTATGAAATACCAATCACAAGGGAGTAAGAATGGACAACATCAATCAGGCTATTATCATTAGGCCTTCTGCTGTTTTCTGAGAGACTACCTGAAGGAGAAAACAAGGGAGAAAGGGGCAGAGAGGGAGAATGCAGTTGATAATTTTTATTTCCCTCAGTAATGTCTAAAAGTCAGCCCAACCTCCAAACAGCAAAGTAACCTGTTGGGATGCCAGGAATGTGTCACAGGAGGAGTTTTGTGCCAGCGTTTACCTGCCTTAACTGCATTACTGACATACCCAGGCTTTTCCAACTGCTCTATGTATCTGTGCCATTTCTGGGCTGCACCCAATGCTGCAAGGCCAGCCTTATTGCCCACAGTGAAGAGTAGCAACACTCACTTAGGCCCAATTCAATGTCACTTTAGATTAGGAAGCAGCTGGACAACAGATAGCAGGCACAAGAATCTATTCCTCATTCATGTAAAATCACCTCAATTTTGTGTTCTTTGTTTCTCCATTGTGAAGACTTTACACTGGGAAATGTGATGGATAAAGGGCTCAACATGTGCAGAATGCTGTTGGTCATCATAGCTACAGTACAGGAGTAAACTTCCAAACCATCCTGAAATGTTTTAGAGCTAATGAAGTACTGTTTAAAGTACAGTCACTGCTGTAAAAGGAGGAAATTTATTTCATATGTTTTTTGTTG